GTTTCATGAGCTATACCTTTAAATCTTTAACCTAAGAGAATTGAAAATCATAATTCAGAAAGCTATAGTTCTTGCGATGAAAGCTGGTAAGTCCTGTTCTCCATGAAACTGTGGAAGTCAATTTCTTAAGGTTTTATACTGTTGCCCATTACCCTAATACCTGAGTATGAGATTTTAAGACTGATGCACTGTAACTACACCTAGAAATAATCTTGTTACTCTAGCAGTAAAAGTGTACTTTGCTTTGATAACTGCTATTTAAGAATACATTTTGAGGTCCGTTTTATTTGTGGATTATTATAAGATTTTTTTTGAAATTTACTGTACCAAGCAAATGAACCAGAAGCTTAAGTCACTTCTGTTTTACTCTAACATACATGGCACCCTCCTAAGAAAAGCTCACATTTCTTAATAAAGGGCTATGAAGTTGTTTTACTGTGGTGGTGGACTACTGCCACCTTGTGGGCATGTCTTGCAATTTTGAGACACCATTTTCTCTTGTAACATTTCTAGGGCACTCTACTGCATTTTGTGCTATAATCTGAATGGCTGCCATCATTCGATAGCAAGTAGCTCCATGGGGAGAGGAGAGAACCTATTTCTTTGGGGATTTTTTTTTGTTTTTTCAGCAAGATATAAAAATACAGTCTTTGACTTTGAAAGAAATGGTAGTTCCAACAGAGATGCCAACCCTCCCTAATTTTCCATAATTCTGGTTTTTACACATAATTACAAAATTACTAATTCAGGCTTAAATCTACTAATTTTGCAAGTGTGTGCTTGCACACACATACGGTTTGTCTCTCCACCACTCGGGTCCGATGAATACAGCAAATAATGGCACAGCCATGGGGGCGTTCTTCTCCATCACTTCTATGGGACATGCCCAGACTGCACAGAGAGGGCCTGATAGGAGGTAAGCCACAGCAATTTTGAATTGGTTGTGCAACACTGCTGGAATCAGTGCCCAAGCCACAGGCTGCATGTTGTATTTAGAGCACAACGCGCAGCCTGTAACTTGGGCATTGAATCCAGCAGCACTCCAAACCCCACTAACAATTGCCATGGCTTGACTCCACTAGACTTTCACTGGGCAATCGGTGGAGGAGGAGACTGTGGTGATGGAGGAAGTGGGGGGGAAATGCAACACAGGTGGGAGAAGAGGAGGATCATCCTGGGAATGATGTCCAGGCCTCGGACTGGCCAAGGTAATTAAATGCCACCTTGGGCCTAGGAGGGCAGCTTTCCTAGGGCCAGTCTTTTCCATCTTCCAGTTTGGGAGTGAGGTTCAGGGGCATAATGGGCAGGGGAGAGCCCAAGCCCTCTCCTCTTCGCCATAGACAAGAGAAGGGAGGGAAGAAAAGACTCTGGTTTCTAGGGGAAGAGACAGGAGGTCCAAGCACACTCTTTAATTCCTCAGGATTTTTTTTCATAAACATTCCTAAAAGTCTCAGAATAAGTTTGGCATCTCTGACTGCAGTATAGCTTTTAAAAACTTGAATTTTATATCCTGTCAATGAAAGTAAAATATTTAAAATTACTTAAGACCCTATTTACTATGCTATTTTCAGAACTCTAGTTCCTGTTGTCAGTGTTGTCATAGTAACTTGGTTTCTTTCCAGATGTTTTCTCTTCAGGCAATATTCTTATACATATCCAAGACCATGCTATCTCTTGAATTCAGAATTTCATCTGCACTGAAGAGCAGAATGCTTTTTAAAAAATACACAAGAGTTACACCAGAACATGGCCAGCATTACCCTTTTGGCACTGTGTGGGAGGGAAGGGATGGGAACTGCTTCCAGCCGTGGGGGAGGAGAAATGGGGGAAGGGATGACCTGGCCTATGTCTTTGCAGAGCTCATCCCTTCCTGCCCACACCGTGCGGAAAAGCAGCTGGCCACTGACATAACCTGTCTGCCTCCTGTCCCCCGGCTACTGCGCGGGCAGGAAGGGGTTAAGCTCTAGGGACACATTGTGGACCATGGTCCAGGGAACCTGACTGCAGGGGCTTCAGCGGCCACAGAGCCTGGCCAGTGAGGTGGCTCAGCGGGAGAGGGTGCCTAGGGTCAGAGCAGCTCTGCACTCCCTAGGAGCAGGACCCAGAGCTGTGGAGGATGGGGTGGGTGAAGAGGGTGCTTAAGCCCCTGCCCGGGGGGGCTGCTGTGGAGCCTGCTCCCCCCCACACACCCGAGCCGGCACTCAGAGGGGGCTGCGCTGATGGACTGGCAAGAGGAGCAGCTGGCCCCGCATGCTGCAACTTCACCCTGCCACCAGTCTTGCACCCCCACCCTCATTGTCTGCCACTGGATCCCCCACTCACTACTGGTGGGTGGGCAGTTGGTGAGCAGGAATCCAGCCAGCAGCAGGACCTGCTGGTACTGACTGGGGGGAGGGAAAGCAGAAAATATGGGACAATTTGCCCATTTTTAAGAAAAAGTCAGGACACCTGTTGGAGGCCTTAAATACGGGACTGTCCCATTAAAAACAGGATATCTGGTCACCCTACCTGTATATAACTTGTACTACAGTACCTGGGTATTATGAAGATCGTAGTTGCAGCTCAAGTTAAGGCTGCATGAGATCTATTTTTCCTCTTAAAGAGGCTTTACAAGCTTGGGGAGTTTCCTATTTGAGGGGGAAGGGCAGGAGGGTGGGATTGCAGGCTCCCCCTTTCCTACTGCTGAGGAGGATCACAACTGCATTATAAAAACTGGCCCCTGGGCTTTTGTAGCCTTCCAAAACATCAGTTCTGTCTCCTGATGTCCCCCGTAAGCAAGATACAGTAATACAGAATGAGGAATCCCCGGAAACTGAAGAGTAATCGATGAGTTTCTTCCTGATCAATTCCTCCACTCTCTCTGTGCTTGTGACATGCAGTAAGTTTTCCTGTGCTTAGCTCACCTTGGTCTGAGTAATGTGTGTGCCACAGGAAGTCCTCAATTAGGGTGGGTGGCATGGGATTGTGAGGTTCCTTAGTGCCTGCTCCTGCCATAAGAAGTTCAGGTACAATCTATAAATATTTCACAGCAAGCATAACACTGGCCCCAGGCCTGCTACTTCCCCAAACATCCCTCTTACATCTCCTCCTTTTGGCTCCCTTTTCCCCTTCCAGGAAGGTGTGATTGGATGTTGATTTTTCCACCTGCCCCCTTTCCCTAAGTCTCAAAGCTTCTCAGCACCAAATCAGCCAGAATTTGCCCAAGTTCTTTGCAAACCAAAATAGATTCGTTAGGCCCTTGTAGAGGCCAAATACCCGACATCTGGGGAGACAGAGGCATTTTTTTAAAACAATTAAGCAATTTGGGAGGTCGCACAGTCAGCAATAGAACCAGTGTCTGAGACACAGGCCATTCCATTAACCATAAGACCATCCATCTGCAGTCTGAACCTTGAACGGAACCCAGATCTTCTGCATCCCTAGTCCATCTCATTAGCATAGTGGTTATCTTTTGCCCTACACAGTCAGTGGGTTCCTTTCTGGCTTTGGCCAAAAAGTCCATCCTGAATCTGAGAAACCTTCTTGATGAAAGTTGTGAAACTGAGATGTTCTCATATGAACTTTTGGTTTGGGGTAATTGGATTTTCTGCCAAAAATAATTTAACTGGAAAATTCCTGTCCTGCTCTAATCACTACACTGATGTTGTGCCTGATTTCATTTGGCACATGCCTTTCGAAAGAAGGGCTTGTTGCTCAAAAGGCAGCATGGCTCAGTGAATGCGAGAGCCTGCCTTACCAGAAACCTGGATTCTAATTCCAGATCTGCCTGATTTGACTTTGTGCAACCGCAGTTACTTAGCTACAAACTTTTAGGCCCTGTCAGGTGTACATGAATATTAACAAGAGATAGCAAAGGGAGGAGACTTGCACTCTTGGTCTTTGGGTTTGCGGATCTTTGTTCACTAGGCTACAACATATTGTACAGGGACACCATCTTAGTGAGCTGCACTGTGGCGATTTGGTCTGGTAGATGGCTGTTTAGTGCATGGTGCACACGTGAGCTAGTACTAGCTGAATGGTGCAGAGCAGCCAGAGTATATCAGTAAATTTGCCCTTTAAAATTGAAAAATAGTTAAGGTTGATTACTTGTAATTAGTTGAAGATATGTAGTATCACTAGGTAGATTTCTGAGACATTCTTGTGTATTGTGTTTCATTTTAAATACATTAAATGTATCATTAAGGCATCAAAAGAAATTTTGCCCTGTGGGGATACCCTTCAGTTACAATTGAGGTATTATAGTTTTGTGGTTCCATTTTAGAGGAAACATGACAGGTTTTTTCTCTTCCCCCCTGCTACCCCTCAGCTACATAGTGTCAATACTACAAGGCAGAGTTCAGGTTCTTTGGGCACCTTAACTGATTTCCATGCCTGAGTCTGTTTGATTTTCTTTACATTTAACCTTTATTCTGAATTTTCTTTGTTTGGACTGATTTGGGCTACAGCATTAGAAGAAGGTTGTCATCCCGTTTTACTCTTAAATTACTGTATGTGCTGTTAACTATATTATACTGGAGTTAAGTTTATTTTTATCTGGGACTAATGATTAAACAATCATTGGTTTTTCACTTTCTTTGGTGAAAATCTTTACTTTGGAAAATTAAGTTCACAGATTTAAATACTGATGCTAAATTGTTAAATAACAAACTATCTTAAATTTAACACAGAAAATCTTACAAATTTTACATTTTTCTTGATTGCTGGCACCATATACTGCATGCATAAAAGATCTGTCTGCTGTAGGCTGGTTTTTGTTCACATAATTATCTTTCATATACTAGCTTTGTTGTACTATTTTCTTTTATATGGAAGGTATAACATTTGTGAAGCTAAATAGAATTCTACGCAACTAGAAATATATCTTTATGCTATGCATTTGACTCTTCAAATTCTGAACTAGTGGAGGGAGAGAGTAGAGTTAATATTAAATTGTTGCAAAAGCCAAAACAATGGAAGTCAACAATCTACTAACTTGTATTAAAATCTTTTTTCCCTTTTAGGCAAGAAATTCTGAAGTGGAATGGATGGGGATACAATGACTCCAAATTTATATTTAATAAGAAGGGACAAGCAGAATTCACAGGGAAAAGGTAAATGAAATTTCTGGCATCACTGTGTAGCTAATATTATGAAGTTTCTTGTTTTTAAGTGTTTTATTTTTGAGAATCTGTATTTGATTTAAAACACTACACAGTCTATATGAAAGATGATTGCTTTTTTGGCACATCCTCTAGAATAAGCTTAAAATGTTCTGTCTGCATTTTTAACAACTTTACTGAGTTATAAAATAGTACTTTACAAGTGTGGATAGTAAAATAAACCTTCACTGAGGGTTAATTCATTGCATGCCTTATTAAAAGCTTAAAATGATAGAGGACAACTTAAGCAAAATTAGTCTTCCCCATAATTCCAAGTAGTCACCCTGCTCACGATTTAACTTGATTTTGAGTCTCCATTATAACACTCATTTATCTAAGGTTTGGTCAGTATGCAGCATTCTTGAGTATTCTTCGGTTCTAAGAATCTCATGCGAGAAAAAGCATGTAATTTTACTGATTAGTTAAATGCCAGTTTGTCTTTTATGAAGAAACCTGTATTCATGTATAGAACTTCCATTGGTGATCATAAAATGTTTCTTGGATCAGGGTTGTGGTGAGGATAAATACATTAGATTGTGAGATGCCCAGATACTGCTGTAATGAGAGGGAGGGGGCAATATAAGTATCCAATTAGGGTTGTCAGATGTCCGTTTTTCGACTGGAATGCCTGCTTGAAAAAGGACTGTGGTGACTCCAGTCAGCACCACTAACCGGGCCATTAAAAGTCTGGTTAGTAGCACAGCGGGGCTAAGGCAGGCTCCCTGCTCTGGCTCTGCCCGGCTCCCAGAAGTGACTGGTATGTCCCTGCAGCCTCTAGGCACAAGGGCGGCCAAGGAGGCTCTGTGCGCTGCCCCTGTCCCGAGTGCTGGCTCTGCAGCTCCCATTGGCTGGGAACCATGGCCAATGGGAGTTGCAAGGGCGGCGCCTGTGTCCGGCATGGCAGTGCTCAGAGTCACCTGGCTGCATCTCTGCCTAGGGGGCACAGGGACATGCTGGCCGTTTTTGGGAGCTGCCTGAGGTAAGTGCTATCTGGAGCTCTCACCCCCTCCCATGCTCCAACTCCCTGCCCCAGCCCAGTGAAAATAAGTGCTATTTCCCATAATACAAAAGATAACATTCAAGAGAAATGAAAGATAAATTTTAAATTGGTCAAAGGAAATACATTTTTGCACATTACATAGTTACCACATGGAACTCATTGGCACAAAATATCATTAAGGTCAAAAACTAGTAGGATTCAAAAATTACACGTGTGTAGGTGGAAATATTGACATTTCCATTACATACAATTGAATCCATTTTTAAGATGCACAGTCTTAACATTTCTGTATAATTGTTTTATATTTAACACTAAATATGCATAATTTTGCAGACCTGGATATGAATTTAAATCTAATAAATTTTTCCCTTGTTCTGCATAAGTACAAATAACTAAGACATTTATCTGATTTACATAATATTTCATATTAAGAAGAACCCATGTAATATAGACTTTGTTTCAGGTACAGGTTGAGTGGTATGGTGTTACCTGTTTTGAAGGAATGGATGGAAAAAACCTTAGGAGCAAGTCTGGAGCACAAAATTACCTCTAGAGTAAGTAAATAGCTGAAAAGGCAGTTCCTTCAAACATATTACACTCATGATGACATAACCATTCATCTATTAGACATGACTCATGCTGTTACCCTCAGTATGCCCTTGCATATGGTTGAGTGCCTTAGTATTAATACAATATATTTATTTTGAAATGTCATGCCTCCTTATAGACTATATTGTATATCAAAAGCTGGGTGACTTAAAATTACTGAAAGTCCAAATTGCTGTAATGTCACACTACTTTAATCAAAAGATTAGCTACTTGTACAGGGAATATTGGGGTTACTTTTGCATGGTGATATATTGTCTCAAACAGACTGCTGAATGGAGGCGCCTACCCAGAAAGGAGAGAACTTTCATATCGGAGTCAATATTTTAATTACTATTTGCAATGAGAAGCAAAATACAGAAAATATAATAGTTAAACTGTTACATACAGTTTTAAATAATTTCTGCAGAATGACAGTGTCTATTGAACCTACTTGATAAATTGCCAATGTATATAATCTGTTTGAGATTGTATAATATTTGCATGCGTCTCTATGCACTGAAGATTTTGGCTTTCCAGGGTAACTAGGATATTAAACTGATGTTTTCTTGAAAGTTGCAGCAAAAGCTTTAATAGATCTTTAGGGTTCTAAAGCATACCTAATAATTGCGTTCAGTTTATGGAACATTAATGTTTAAAATCATTTGGTGTTATAACACTTAACAAAAATTCAACTTTGAAAATTTTAAATCCGTTTTTAAAATCAAATTCACCTTTCACCATTTACACTTTTTTATTTACTTTTGAACGTGACTTGGACAATGAGCATAGACTAGTCAAAGAAGCTATTAAGTGTTTCTCTTTAGTTCACATGCACAATTATTTATTATTTGTATGATAGGAGTGCCTGGGGAGCCAGATAAAGGCCCGAATATGCTAGGCGCCATACAGATAGGTAACAAAAAGATGGTCCCTTCCCTGAAGAGCTTAAAATAAAAGTGTAAGAATGTACCTGCATTTGGGTTGCAGACCTAGCAGGGAAAACTAACACCCAAACTAACTTAATTTGGAATAATCATGTGGAAACTGTTCTGTTAAGTTTTGTGAAAGTTCTTAAAGCAAAACATATATGTGGGTCTTAAACTGACAGTTTTCCCTTATTTTTTTTAAATTCAAGCAATCCTTAATTTTTTTAATATTTCTAAAAATCCTTCCAATTGGAAATCTTTTTTCCTCCTGTTTTCCTCCTTTCTCATTTGATTTTTTTTTAATGGAAGTCAATTGTGGAGTATTAGGATTAGAAATTTCAGCCAATCATAGCTCAGAAAAGTTTAAAGACTGAAATTTTGAGTATTCAATCAAATTGATCCTCTTTAGGATACACCTGTAAGTGAAGTTATAGTTTTGCTTGGAGAATTATTAAAACTTGTGTAAAATGGGAAAAGCCCAGTTTATTGGAAAGTAACTTTTTACTTGTAACATAACAAAATTGCTCAGCAATCATTGAAAAACAGAAGATGGAACCCCCACTGCCATTTTTAGTTTCTTTTCAGAGTTGAACTGCACTTAGTCTGTAAAGATCTTTCTTTGTGTCTTGTCTTTGGTGAAGGGCTAAATCCTGTAGTTCGCCCTGTTTCAGCTATCTGCTTTGTGATCTTTCCTTATTCTCACAGTGCCTGGGAGTAAGACTATGTTTAGGTGGGTGCATAACTGGTTGGAAAACTGTTCCCAGAGAGTAGTTATCAGTGGTTCACGGTCAAGCTAGAAGGGCATATCAAGTGGGGTCCCGCAGGGATTGGTCCTGGTTCTGGTTTTCTTCAATATCTTCATCAGTGATTTAACTAATGCCATAGAGAGTACACAAATAAAGTTTGCGGACGATACCGAACTGGGAGGGGTTGCAGGTACTTTGAATGATAGGATTAAAATTCAAAATGATCTGGAAAAGATCTCTGGAGAGATGGTCTGAAGTAAATAGGATGAAATTCAATAAAGAGGAAAGCAAAGTACTCCACTTAGGAAGGAACAATCAGTTGCACAAATACAAAATGGGAAAGGACTTGGCATGGTTTTTGTGAAGCTCTGGACTATTGTACTGAACAGATCATTGGCTTTGACCGTGACATACTGAACAATTTATCTGAAAAATAAGGGTTAGAGGGATCAATGAGGGGTCCAGTCTACAGAAGAGAATGCAACTGAGTGGAGGAATGAAAAGAGACTCGTAGGTAGTGTAGTTAGAATTGAGGCCAGGGATGATAATGAAGACAACTTTAATTGGGTTAAATTCAAATATCCATATTTTGTTGAGTTTATCAACTGCTAACTCTAATCTGGGTAGTTGGGGTTGTCATGAGAGACCAGCACGATTTAGGGGACTCCCTAGTAGTAGTGATTTTTTTTTTCTTTTATTGTAGGCTTTCTTAAATACAAGTGATGTACCCCCATCAATTGTAAATGAAGAATTTCTTCAGGATCTTAGAGCCACTACAATTTCATATTCACGGGAAGCAGAAGATAGGGTGTTCAGAGCTCATGGTAAGATCAAGTCCAATGTGTAATTTTACACTTTTAGAAGTATATATGATTTTAAAAAATCCTTGTAACTTGATTTTTTTTGTACTTCAGGTCACTGCCTACACGAGATATTTGTGCTAAGGGAAGGAATGTTTAAACGAATTCCTGATATAGTTGTATGGCCAGGTAAAAACTTTTAAATTTATTTTTTTCTTTGCTCTGGAGGCTATAGCTTCCCGTGACAACTGATGAAGGGTAGTAGTTTGGGAAGCAGTCCTGTCACAGTAGTTGGATATCTCTCACTTTGTCATTTGTTTGCAATAAATAAACTGAAATTGTTAGTACCAAGGAATCAAAAATGGCTTCAGTCTCGCCTTTTAAGAGTAGTCATTTTTACTTTTTTACTTTGCAATCTAGATGTTCTCATCTCTATATGTTACCATGGGGTATTCAATGCAGTGTTAGATTTATCCTAAGGACTTTAATTTCAGTTAATAGTTCTAAGTAATGGTCTTTCATTGTAAGGTTAATGCTCATAGTTATAATCAACTGATTATATACAACTTCTCAATTTTTAATAAAGGATTAAACATTGTCTTGGTGCTGTGTGCCTTTTTGTACTGATGACCAGCCCATATCACGCATACTGTTTCTCCTGAATTTCCTGGGGTTTCAGCACTTGCTTGGGGATAATTACAACATTCCTGTAATTCATAAGAACGGCCATACTGGGTCAGACCAAAGGTCCATCTAGCCCAGTATCCTGTCTTCTGACACTGACCAGTGCCAGGTGGTTCAGAGGGAATGAACAGGTAATCATCAAATGATCTATCCCCCGTCACCCATTCCCAAACAGAGGCTAGGGATACCATCCCTGCCTATCCTGGCTATTAGCCATTGATGGACCTATCCTCCATGAATTTATCTAGTTCTTTTTTGAACCCTGTTATAGTCTTGGCTTGGTCAAACTTGGATAGTTTTGCAGATCTCACAGATCCAGAATTCCAGTCCAGTTTGAAGGAAACCAATTCAGTCATTTTAAAAGCTAGGAATGTTTTATGTCACACACCGCTAAGTATTACTATTTAGCTATGCATGCATGTGCACATATACAGGCTTAATGGAAAAAATCTAACACACCTCTTCAGCACATCGTTTTCAAATGCTCAGAACTTCTGGTTAATCAAAGCCAATTGTTTCCCTTGGAAACCAAGCAAAGGTGCTAGTCCTTAAAGACTATATCCAGACGAAAGTTCAAGCTTCAGTCATTTTTATTTTACTATGTCTAAAACAGTATGGTCAAAATGCTTGTAACAACTGTACTTTTCACTCACTGTACTCAAAAACAGCTGGGGAACAAGCATGGAAAATTTCAGCCCATACACTAAATTTTCTAGAAGATGAGCATGTGAAAATTGAGGACAGGGCTTGGAAACTAATTGTAGTGAGAATTAGTAGGTTCCAATTATAATGTCATAGAGGTAATAAGAGTCCTAAGCATGCTTATGAAAGTGACAAACAGAAAAAGCTAAAAGGAAGAATTAAAGAAAATAGAAAAGAAAATAGAGCTTGTATATTTTTAATTTTTGGTAAAACTTAGAATCTAAAGATGGAAAGAAATAACTCCTGGAAAACAAATCCTGGCTAGCTTGTCTTTGCTAACATTTTTACAGGTTTTGAAGATGCACGTGCACAGTGTGTGCGTGTGCATCTTAATTCATTTAAGTACATCCCTGAATTACTGATCTGTACTCTCAACCTTAATACCATTTTAACACCATTTATCTAGGAATTTCCTAGGTGTTTTTTTAATTAAAAGTTTCATGCGTGAACCATATACACGAAACCAAAAGAGGATGATGCCATGTAATATTTCTAAATTGATGATGCCAAGTATCAATTTAAATCTTTTATTTTAACTTTTTATGGTCCTATTCACAAGTATGCTGTGGCTGCTTTATTGTTCTGCAGCAGCATGAAAGCAGCCAGAGCTTACTGACCAGTTAACTAGGTTTACAGCTGCTTTGCAATCCAGAAATCATACCCCCCGTTTCTCTGTCTTCTGCTCTCCAAATTCCTCCTGCCTTTTTGCACCTCCCTACGTTCCCCTCCATATGCATGCTCAAATCCCTCCTTGTCCTCCACACTGTGTGTACCCACCCTAGTTTCACCCTTTTTCTGGCATTCCTTCTATTCTCTTGCGCATTCACACATGGCCCCTAATTTCACCCTCCTGTCTTTTCTGTTGCAGAGGCATGGTACAAAGGGTAGCTTCTGAAAAGAAGTAGTTGGGCTTATAATAATTGAAAACTTTTTTCCAGAGTGTGAGGCATAAAAAAAGCCTTTCCTTCAGAGAAATCCACTAAGAACTGCCCTCTTTCAAAACTGCAGCTATTTTTCATCTCAGTTAAATTGGATCTAGTTTTCAGCTCGATGTAGTTGAGATACCTATTTAAAAATTAAATTGAAAAATATACCTGTAAAGTTTACACAATGAATAATTTGAATTGTCTGTCCGTCTCTTTTGCTCTGGAAGTTCCCGCTGTTGATGATCCCTGGGTAGGCCAGGAGTCTTGTGCTTTCTGTATAATTTAAACCTGACATTGTTTTCAGCCTGGAATAACTCCACAGCCTCAGTATATTTGTGTTATTGTTTCACTTCAATTTTGTCTATTTGAGCCCATTTATTCTTCTTGGATGTCTCTGCTCTCACTTTGAAAATGGGCTACTGCACTACTAGAATGCTTGAAAGTACCAATCAAGCCCTAAAGAATTAGCAGGCGACGAGTAAGTGTGCTTAAATTGAAGCTAACTGTTCAAAAGCCTGTTCTAACTGGAATCTATTTATCTTAATTAGGTTGCCATGATGACGTAGTTAAAATTGTGGAACTAGCCTGCAAACATAATCTTTGCATAATACCATTTGGTGGTGAGTATTGTACCTTTAAAAATTTTGGCAGGGTAAATTTAAACTATAAAGTTACATATTTCTTTAAGTTCAATTCAAGGGACTAGTGCTAGTGGCATGAGGTCATGCCAATAAATCTGCCAACTCTACACAGGTGTGTCTTGAGCGTTTAGAGATGTTGAGTATATATTTATAAAGTACTGTTTAAAGAAGTAGTCCTATGTCAAGACTTTGGCAAGGTTAATAACTAATTTAATTTTGAAGACAAATAGATCCCATAGAATTTATAATCTTATTTGCTGTGTTTGGTTCACTGAAATCTAGTGGAAGCCTTTTTACATCTGTCAGCACTTGAATGTTTCACTATACAAGAGGAGCAATTTATTCTTTGAGGTGGCATCTGCATATTCCCACTAGCACTGCTGCACTTTGGGTACCTTCTAGAAGAGCAGTTTCCATTTGGGCCTGAATGAGCATGCAGCACCAAACATTGGGAGCAGAAGTTACAAGAAGACATGCAGGCAGTTCCTCCTTTTTTTGGCAGTTATCTGTGGGCATATATTTTTCTCTTGGTAATTTCATCAATCTTGTTGAGGCTTTTTAGACAGTGAACTTTAGATAATTCATTGCTCAGTTATATTCTTGGCTCATTTCTGAAGCATCAAGTCAGTCCAGATTTCTGACATCTGAGCCCAAGCATTTGATGTGCCTCAGAGAAAAACATTCCTTGGTATAGCGTTTTACACGTTGGGCCTTTTACACAATAGGCTCAAAAGGACAGGCACATTCAGATCCTGACATTTCTCATGAAGGAAGGTCTTGTGGCCCAACCCCCTCAGATTTGTCCTCAGTACAGAGATGGAGAGGCCTTTCAGGTCCTGTGTGGGGAAACAGAAGACTTTCCAGTCCTGGAACTGACACCTTTTGTAAGCTCCAAGTCAGAGCAGTGGCAGTATCCGGAGGGCAGTTCTGGCATTGAGGAAACCACTTCCATCATCATCTGTCTGGTGCCTAGGTTTGTCAGTGCTGGAGACTTCAAAAGTGCCTCTGTCCTCAAGGGAGTCAGTGTGTTTGTACGGACTCCCAATTTCTGAAGTCTTTCAGCTCTGTGGAAGCCTCTAGCTGAGCTTGCTTCTATTCATGCCAAACAGAACCGAGAAACAGGGTCTTGGTTGGGCTTGACATTTTTGGAGACCTCAGTTGTGCTCTTCTTTGCCCTTAATCATATCAGGGTAAGAAAATGGGGCTAGGAGAGAATCTCTGCCTTGGAGCATTCTGTGCCATTACAAAAGAGAAAAGTTATCCCATATCCAGGGAGTGCAGTAGGCAGATTGAAAGCCCCTTTTCTGCCTCTCTTAATTCCAATGGTGACTCTCTTTAATTATTGCAGAACTCGAGGATTCAATCAGACTTCACCCTTCTTTGGTGACCATGTAGGTGACAACTGTCAGTGAGCCTGTGTCTTTCAACATAGGACTCATTCTGTGCCAGAATGATCTAGTGGAGATCCATATATAGATCTAGAGCAGGAGTGGCCAGCCTGAGAAGGAGCCAGAATTTACCAGTGTACATTTCCAAAGGGCCAGCAGCACCTCTTCCCTCCTCCCCACCCCCTGCCAGCTCCCAGAGCCTCCCACCCATTGGCAGCCCTGTGGATCAGCACCTCCCCTTCCCTCCCCGCACCTCCTGATCAGCTGTTTCGTGGCGTGCAAGAGGCTCTGGGGGTGGGGAGGAGCGAGGGCACAGCAGGCTTGGGAGGGGGTGGAGTGGGGGCAGGGCCTGTGGCAGAGCCAGGGGTTGAGCAGTGAGCACCCCCTGGCATGTTGGAAAGTTGGCACCTATAGCTCCAGCCCTGGAGCCAGTGTCTATACAAGGAGCCGCCTATTAACTTCTGAAGAGCCGCATGTGGCTCCAGAGCCACAGGTTAGCCACCCCTGATCTAGAGCAGTGGTTCTCAAACTAGGGCCACCGCTTGTTCAGGGAAAGCCCCTGGCAGGCCGGGCCGGTTTGTTTACCTGCCGCATCCGCAGGTTCGGCCGATCGCCGCTCCTACTGGCCGTGGTTCGCTGCTGCAGGCCAATGGGGGCTGCGGGAAGGGCGGCCAGCACATCCCTCGGCCTATGCCGCTTCCCACAGCCCCCATTGGCCTGGAGCGGTGAACCGTGGCCAGTGGGAGCCGTGATAGGCCGAACCTGCAGACTCAGCAGGTAAACAAACTGGCCCGGCCCACCGGGGGGGGTTTCCTGAACAAATGGCGGCCCTACTTTGAGAACCCCTGATCTAGAGGATATTCCAGAGTCTCTTGATTTGAAAAATTTTTTTTTGGTGCTATTTGGGTTGGCCTGTGTGCTGACTGGCTTGGTCTTCCAGGTTTACCTGGACAGCTCAAGGAACAAGGCAACTTCACCTACCAAGAGTGAACATTACATGAAGAGCTTGCTCTCAATTCCCTGGGGTAACTTGATGCAGACTCGTTTTTCTTATCCTCACTTAATCTGTGAATAATGTAGCCATATTATTAGAGACCTTCCTCAACTTCGTGAGGATCAGAGAACCATTAAAAGGGTAGCTGAGATATCTGCCTCTTCCAAAAGGGTTTAATTTCAGATTCAACTTCCTTTGCTACATCCATTTGTAGAACCTGTCTTTTACCCCACCTCTGGTTGGATTCCGCAACAGGTATTTCATATACTCATCTCTAGGTTCTTATGTGCTCTCTCTAGCCTTTGAGAAGTCTGAGTTCTTGAGCTGGCTGCTATGCAGTATATGACAAAAGTGCTTTAGATTGATATCTTGGTCAAAAGAGGTGTGACCTTTGGTTTTATTCACACACTCATGCAGTTCTGCTCTCTCAACTAGGCATCTAGATTTGATGCTTGCTTTAGGATGACAGCTTTGCTATTCTTGTTTAACTAAACTCCTCAGCCCACTTTCCTGGGGCATTGTACTACTAGTAAGACTCTCATGAGGGGGAACATGTAGAGGCCACTTGAAGGAAGAAAGCTTACTTACCAGTAACTGTGGTTCTTTGAGGGTGGTGCTTCTCTATATTTGCACCACACCCACCTTTTCCCTCTTTAAACTTCTATTCTGGGGTTTAAAAGAAGGGAATGAAATGGTTGGGGAAATTGATGGCCTCCTTTAGCCTGTGCTCTGAATGTTTGGCATGACAAAGTGAAATTTGTGCAATTGAACAGGTACTCCTTTTGTGAACTTTCAAGAAATTCTGAAACGCCAGGGGAACATCCCGCAAATGTGAATGTGCAAATGTAATGCACTCTCAAAGAAACAGTTAGTGTTACGCAACCTTTTTAAGTGACACATCCCTCATACCTAAAATGTATGTCTTAGTTAAATGTGGATAACAAAGATCAAGGGAAACTATTTCAATCTAAGTTGATATCTCCAACATTTGCAGGAGGAACAAGTGTTTCTAGTGCTCTTGAATGTCCTGCAGATGAGAGAAGAACTATTGTTTCATTGGATACGTCACAAATGGTATGTAATACAAATTTTAGGGGAAACCTTAGAGGATGCAACATTTAAGTGTACTGAATGTTTTAAAAGTTAACAAATTGCTGTAGTATTTGGTCGTTACCTGATGCTGCAAGAGTGAAAAAGGGGGAAAAGAAGTTTGCCCACAATTTTTTTTAAATAGCTTCAATATTTTATTTATATATCCAAAAGCAAGTGGAATGCAACTTTAAAAAGCTGTATCATAGACGTAGACTACTGGTCATTGGAAGCACACCCTGTTCAGAGAGAGAGGTCCAGTATTGTTCTGTTGCTGGTGTTGTTAGTGTATACTTCATGATGACCATTGTGAAGGAACCTAACAAAATAGCAGTACATTTTCTTTTCTATTGAATGCCTCTTGTATTCTTGCTAATGACATGTGAATGTGCAGGTTACTGTTTAAAATAGCAGTATACATAAATTTGTTACAAATAGACAAATGCCAAAAAAAATAGTGTTAAGACTCTTAGCATAGTTACAGGGGTCTTAAAGGGACAACAGTTTTTGCTTGCTGCAGTAACAACACCCAAGATTATTGGGAAATGGCCCACCTTGATTATCATACACATTGTAAGGAGAGTGATCACTTTAGATAAGCTATTACCAGCAGGAGAGTGGGGTGAAGGGAGAGAAAACCTTTTGAAGTGATAAACACCCATTTTTTCATGGTCTGTGTGTATAAAAATATCCTCACTGCATTTTCCACTTTTATGCATCCGATGCAGTGAGCTGTAGCTCACGAAAGCTTATGCTCAAATAAATTGGTTAGTCTCTAAGGTGCCACAAGTACTCCTTTTCTTTTTGCGAATACAGACTAACACAGCTGTTACTCTGAAACCAAGATTATTGTAAGTGAAATATTAGAGGGAGATATTCATTGTTTATTACTTGCATTTGAGTGCACTTTGCGTAGAGTCAGTTTCACTGCAGTGTTTTTTGCACAGTGACATTTACAAAACACAGGTTGGCAGGGGAGGACTCGGGCATGGTCCGTGGTAGTACTTTGAACTAAACTATCTTTAAATTGACTAGATTTCAAGTTGACAGTGTCCCTTTAAATCAGTGAGTGTATGTATTATATGCTACGTTGCAGAATTACAAGGAGACTTCAAGTTTGTCACATGCTTAGTGCTATTGAAACTTTGTTTTCTGTATTTACTACTTTTCCATTGGTAGGAGGGATTGTACACTTGTAAAAACAGTTTTGTGGATGTTCAATAATCAAATGCTACCTTTCAGAAAAGACATCCTATTTTTAATCTAGTATTGTGTTCTGTAACATTTTGCAAAGCTGTGTTGGCTTGCTTCTCCATTCTCCATCACTCCTCAGAGCACTTCATTGGCCTGGGAGCAAAGACTGGGTTTTGACTCCTTTTCTATGACACTTCGGATGGCAGGGAAGCTTGCAGCTTTCTCTTTCAACCTGGCTGAGAGAATTTCTCTTATAAAAGAGCTGCTCCTAGTGGCAGCTGCTCCTTGCTTTCACAGGCATCCTGAATGGAGTGGAATTGAGGAGCAGAGACAGCAGTGCTCACGTACGCGGACCAGAAGTGATCTGTGGCCCACAGTTTGGGAACCTCTGGTCAAGGAAAAAAAGCAACTTTAAGTCAATAATTGTGCTATGATGCTCTTCTCAGTCATCCAGTTGCATTAACAGTAAATGAGAACTACAGGTTGTAAATGAATTTACTGTGACTTGATTAGTTAACATATCTGTTTAAAATATAGAAAATCTGATATGGACCTCGGATATCATTAGTGAAACAGGAGAGTAAGGTGAAAAATATTGTTGTCTGAACTACAAACTGGACATCCCTCTGAACTAGGGCTGTCGATTAATCGCAGTTAACTCGCGATTAACTCAAAAATTAATCACGGTTAAAAACATTAATCACTATTAATTGCACTGTTAAACAGTAGAATACCAATTGAAATTTAACTATTTGGATGGTTTTCTACATTTTTAAATATATTGATTTAAATTACAACACAGAATACAAAGTGTACAGTGCTCACTTTATTTTTATTACAAATATTTGCACTATAAAACGATAAACAAAAGGAATAATATTTTTCAATTCACCTCATACATGTACCATAATGAAATCTCTTTATTGTGTAAGTGCAACTGACAAATGTAGATTTTTTTGTTACATAACTGCACTCAAAAACAAAACAATGTAAACCTTTAGAACCTACAAGTCCACTCAGTCCTACTTCTTATTCAGCCAATTGGTAAGACAAACAAGTTTATTTACATTTACAGGAGATAATGCTGCCGGCTTCTTATTTACAATGTCACCTGAAAGTGAGAACAGGTGTTTGCATGGCATTTTTGTAGCTGGCATTGCAAGGTATTTACATGCCAGATATGCTAAACATTCATATGCCCCTTTATGCTTTGGCGACCATTCTGGAGGACATGATTCCATGTTGATGACGCTTGTTAAAAAAAAATGTGTTAATTACATTTTGACTGAACTCCCTAGGGGCAAATAGTATGTTTCCTGCTCTGTTTTACCTGCATTCTGCCATGTATTTCATTTTATAGCAGTCTCGGATGATGATCCAGCACATGTTGTTCATTTTAAGACCACTTTCACTGCAGATTTGACAAAACACAAAGAAGGTACCAATGTGAGATTTCTAAAGATAGCAACAGCATTCAACCCAAGGTTTAAGAATCTGAAGTGCCTTTCAAAATCTGAGAGGGATGAGGTGTGGAGCATGCTTTCAGAAGTCTTAAAAGAGCAACACTCCGATGTGGAAACTACAGAACCCGAACCATCAAAAAAGAAAATCAACCTTCTGCTGGTGGCATGTGACTCTGGTGATGATGAAAGTGAACATGCGTCAGTCTGCACTGCTTTGGATAGTTATCGAGCAGAACCAGTCATCAGCATGGATGCATGTCCTCTGGAATGGTGGTTGAAGACGAAGGGACATATGAATCTTTAATGCATCTGGCACGTAAATACCTTGTAATGCCAGCTACAACAGTGCCATGCGACCGTCCGTTCTCACTTTCAGGTGACCTTGTAAATAATAAGCGGGCAGCATTATCTCCTGTAATGTAATGTAAACAAACTTGTTTGTCTGAATGAGTGTCTGAACAAGAAGTAGAACTGAGTGGACTTGTAGGCTCTAAAGTTTTACATTGTTTTATTTTTGAATGCAGTTATTTTTTGTACATAATTCTACGTTTGTGAGATTATCTTTCATAATAAAGAGATTGCACTACAGTACTGGCATGAGGTGAATTGAAAAATACTGTTGTTTTTTTACAGTGCAAATACTTGTAATCAAAAATATAAAGTGAGCACTGTATACTTAGTATTCTGTGTTGTAATTGAAATCCATATATTTGAAAATGTAGAAAACATCCAAAAATATTTAAATGGTATTCTATTGTTTAACAGTGCAATTAATTGTAATTAATTTTTTTTTAATGGCTTGACAGCCCTACTCTGAACATGTAATAGGTGCCTGTTATCCTGGTAAGGACACATTGCAATAAACACCATTTAAAGAGAACTTAAACACTGTTTGTTTCAAAGAGTACCACTGTAGAGGAACAATGATATAACATGCATAAAGATCTGTTTTCTGAGGCACTGAATGATTCAATTAATTTAAGCTCCTCGGATCAGTTAACTAAGCTGCATGTGTAAAGAACCTCACCTTATCCAATCACCTATTTCAAGCAACCCTACCAAATGCAAGCTAGTGCTAAACAAGATCTCACAACTTGCAAACACAGGAGCAACAGAATTGATATCCTCAGAAGAAAGGTTTTTAGGGCTATACTCCATATTCATCATCTAGAAACATACACGGGGATGGGGGAGTCAGAGCCCTCCTAAATGTCTAATGACTGAACAAATGGATGAAAATGATCAGATTCAGGATGGAGATCCTAGCCTCAACAAGTAGCACCCCATCCAAGGTGATTCCTTGCCTCAGTGGACATAGCAGATCTACATATCCTCATACATCCATGTCACCAATGTCCATGAAGATTTGCGTATTGGATGGCCCACTACCTGTATAAAATACTGCCATTCGGCCTTTCGTCTGGTCAGGACCAGACTCGCATCTCTGAGCACTCTCCTCAGTCTTTTCCTGGATGACATTTTGAACAGAGCTCCCATCAAAGAAGCAGCATACAGTGCCACAACATGGATAGTGGAGCTGCTTCAACTGCATTGCTTTGTGATAAACACCAAGCAAAGCTCATTGATCCCTTCCACAGAGATAGCTCAGCTGGGATGGATATAGGGATATGTGGCCAAAGTTTACCCATCACTGGACAGATGAGAGAAAATCCAGAACCTGATATCTGTTAAGGAATACACAGCTATCCACAGCTTAGTATCTCCAGCCACTGGGCTTCCTAGTTTAATATATAGAAATGACCCCCTGGCAAAATCCCATATCAAACGTCTCCAGAAGGTTCTCCTCATGGTGAGGAACCACAACAGGAATGTATGCAAGATAGATGCTGATCCCAAACCAGGTCCTGGACTCCCTTGGATGGTGGATGATCCCAGAGAATGTCCACAAGGGTCTTCCTATAGCTCTTCCAGACCGACATACTCAGCCAGCCTGATGAGGTGGGGAGCATATCTGAAATAGCGAACAGTGCAGGTCACATAGAACTGCATAGAAAGGAATCAGCATCAACCTCTTGCAGATCAGAGTGGTGAAGCCCTTCGAAGGTTCCAAAGCCACATACAGGGCAACTACATTCTGGTGCAGTACTGTGTCCTTATCCTGTCATGCTTAATGTCTTTCTCAAAGTGGTGAGAGACCCATAGGAATCGAACCCTGTGTTCACAATCACAGATTTTGGAAGAAAACTTACTGGCCTGGGGTGCCACGTTCCTTATTGAAGACGTCAAAAAGGCTTTGAGTTATCTGGATAAAACCAAAGCACTTAGGAAATCAAGAAGTCAGCAAGATATTTGTAGCCTTTGGGTATCTGTCTAAAAAACGGCAATTTCTTGTAGTGCCAAAGTACCTCATGGTCTTAAAGCTAAAGCAATGTTGAAGACCTGCCTCAGTAATGTTTCTACCATAGAAAGCTGCAAATCAACACAGTTGGGTGGATCTGATGCTTTTTTTGAGAGAGCAGTTCCCCAGTCCTTGTTTAATGAGAACTCCTCAGCCCACCTTTCTTAAGGCCTGTCATTCCCTCTAGACTTCCACAAGTGTGAATACATAGAGCCAGCTTGGGGAGAGAAAAGTTACTATGGTAAGCAACTGGTTCTTCAAGAGTGTTCTCTGCATATTCACACTGTCTGATCACCTTTCCCTTTTCCTTAGAGTTTGACTTCAGTAGAAAGTGGGGTTTCGTGGAAGGAGCTTGAGGTGGCTGGGGCAGTTCAGCCCCCTTTACCTCTGTTACAAAGGTTTGCTGGCTCAAAAAGGGACTGGTTTTCAGAGGATTCCTGGGGCTCAGCAGTGCTGAGATCCCCACACCTCCAAGAAAGCCTATAGATTTAACCTCTGGGCCACATCTGATTTTTTGGTCATCAGAACTAATTTTTACATAAAACTAAAAAAAATTAAAAAAAAAATCTTCGGGCCATGACGCATTGACACTGTGTGGTACAGAGTCTGGTAGATATTCCCTGTGTGTATGGCAAAGATGCAATGTTACTATCCTTAAAATATTCAGTTACAGAAACAATCTAATTTCATTCAGGTGATCAACAGACACACACTTAGTACAATTACTACTTAGATTTTTATTTTCATTTTTATTGAACTATTAAGTCATCTACATGTATTGTAATGTACTAGAGACCAGTATATTTGACATCTTGAAGCAAATGATTAAAAAAAAATTACCATTTTCTGTCTTCAAATCATCTTCATGATGTTACTCCTCATGTTTTTCTCTGCCATCCTGGACAATGGGCTTACATTTCGTATTGTTAGGTGAAGGGTCGGGGGGGGAGGGGGGGGCAAAGCTCTTGTGATACCATTCCTCCTGTAAGGGGGGCTGTCTGACTGAATTTGCTGATCCAGTTTTTTCTCCACCAACTCTTCTGGCTTGGCCTAGACTTCTGATTCTTATCTCTGGTTATTTTTTCCCAATCCTTTCTTTTGTCAGACTAGCTAGTTTAGAGTTTAATGAATTTGTACTGAGGCGTTCTCTCTTCTTCTCACGTTCATTTGTGCATTCTGGAGTGAATGTAGAGCATGGTCCACCAGTTGAAGTAGTAACTATAGTGCTCAGTGATTTAAATATTTAAATTTAAGTTAAACTGAGCTAGGCTTGAACTTACCTTGTTAAATACCTCATAAATAGTTTTGTCATCTTGATGTAAAATACAAGAGGGCAGGGGCATGAAGGAATGAAATTTGAGCTTCCAAATTGAATTAGCTTTTTAATCCTGGGCTGCACCAGAATTTTTTTTATTCTTAGGTGCTGAAATTTAGATCGTTCAAGATAATTAAATCCTTGTATGCCAGATATGAAACTCCTGGACACTCCTCTTCCTCCTGAATTTTGTGACACCTCATTCTCTCTGGTTTTTCTGCTTCACATTGCTGTGCCTACACAAGCAAACTTTTTCAGCCATAATTTACCGCTGATGCATCTTCATTTACAGTAGCAACCATGAAAACAGTATTGTAGACAAGACTACATGACATGAAGGTAAAAATGCCTGAGTCTTGTCTGCTCAGCTTCTGCTGCTGCCACCATAGGTGGAGCTACACTGTTGGGAAATTACAACTTACAAGTTTGCTAATGTATAAACATCCTTTGTGAAGCAAGGTCACTTATAAGTAAATTCCAGAACTGTAGTGGTCTAACATCCGATTTTTTTTATTTTATTTTTTTTTTTACCAACAGAATCGAATTCTCTGGATAGATGAGAAGAACTTAACTGCTCATATAGAGGCTGGCATTATTGGACAAGATTTGGAAAGACAGGTATTCTCAATTTCTTATTAAATTTGCAATATTTCTTGTTTCAGGTTGATTATTCCTACCTAATTAAAGTTGTTTTAGGTGTCTGATCTAAGTCATTGAATTGTATTCTAATCCTTACACAAATTTTCATGCCCACTTTTGCTTACCATTTATGCTTACCAAATTTGTAAGAATTATATCTGAAGTTATGGACTGTGTCTAACCCTGGATATTTGTTAAATTTTAATTGGAAAAATCCTTGCTAACCTTAGATGCAAATCCCATGTGAAATATCCCAAAAGTGAGCTGTCAATTTTTAGCATGCAATATGTGCTTCCATTTGAGCGAAAGTGTGGTTGCAAAGCATCACACTTAGTATCAAATACATATAAGTATGAAACTAAATATATAAATCTGCATTACACATTTCTGATATCCAGCCAGGTAGATGGGAGATTTGGTGATTCTGAGGGAGAAAATTAAGGTAGTTTGGAAATACATAGTTAAGATGAACACATTTTCAGATATTTGAGTTTCTTGTAAAGTTAACCTAAACTCTACCCTTCTTGGCTTTTTAATGGTGATCTTACTAATTAAGTGTTCTTGTAAGAATGTTTAACTTTAAGCTACTGATATGTGCTGTCAAATTTAAGGTGAGATTAATGAAATCCTGGGTCTGGGAATTAGTTGTCTTTGCACTCTCTTGTAATGGAGAGAAGTTTTCCTCATTCTAATGTCTGGAAATGATTCTGAAGTAGTCATAGGGCAAGTGGAGAACTCTTTCCAGGGGTAGATTGTAATATTGTTCCTGGGTGGAGTTTTGGCCTCGCTTTATAAGTTAACTCATTTCTCTCAGTTCAGATGCTCCTTTGGACAAGTAGCGATAATACCTAGTTCTTACATACAGCTTTTCTTCAGTATATCTCAAGTAGATCAGTAGACCCTAATAGATGGGCTGGGGCCATCTGGATCCTGGTACACACAGGAAGTGGGGTTCTGATCTCCCTAGATAAGGCCCACAGATCTCTGCTCACATGAGACGGGTATGGGGAGGGATTCAGGCACCCCCATGGGCAGGGATCCACAGCTCCCAGATCACAGGGGAAGGGTAGGAAGAGAATCTCGGACCCGCTGAAAGGCAATTCTTGCCCTAGCCCACACCTGGTCTGGCTCCAATAGATGGGCAGGGGTCACTGAGATTCTGGTGTGTGCACACAGGGAGAAGGGCTCAGAAGGCTCCCATATTGTGGCACACACCAGAGGGGAGAATGTGGGGTTTACAGTGGCCCCTGTCCTTCCCTGTACCCCCTATCACACAGACCCCCATGTCCCCCTTCCTGGTGTCCTGCCCATCACCGGATGCGCCCCCCGACCATATCACCCACCCCTCTCCCTGAGGATTTGCGGGTGTAATTTATTTTCTTTTCAAAAAATAATGTTCCAATATTGCCCTGGTGCAATAATCTCAGTCCTGGCTTCATCTCTATCTATACATGAAAAAAGTTGCCAAAACGTATCAACTTAAAACTAGGGCGGTGTGTGGTTTTTTGTTTTTTTTGCGGGGGGGGCAGCTGTATCTTGGGAACCTGGAGGTCAAATGGCTCCAAAATTTGCTCAGTCGTCAAGCCCCATTCTCCCACGAGGCACACCATATTTCAAGGCAATCCAAGTAATCATGTGGATTTTAGAGCATTTAAGAGTCTGTTTAAACAGAAGGTTGGTCTTAATCTTAATAAAGATGTAACTGTAGCAATGTTTTCTGAGAAGCCGCAGCACCCTTCAAGCTCTGTGTTCAACTATGTACAGCTGGTGGTAGATGTTTGCTTAACACCTTCTGGGGGTACTCTGACTTCCAATGATAAAGCAAGTGGGAGTCCAAAGCTAGCTGCCGAACCTTCCTAACATGGAAGAGAGCAATGAACTACAGGTATGCCATGGAATGGACTAATTGCTGACTTAAGAAACCCACCCTTTTAAGGCATAAATGCATTCTTCAGTACACCTGTAAGAAAAGATTCTGAAGCAATAAGACTTCTGATGAAGGAATTTAATAATTTAATTGAAGAGCATCTTTTTATTAAGGGGTAAAGGGTACTATAGCTTTTACCAAAGAGATGTGTGTCAGACTTTACCAACAGAACTGTTGCTGGTGAGAGAGTTGGCCTTTCATGCCTCTTATTTTATATCCTCTTTTATCACTTGATGTAATATTTTAACCTTTTCAAATCTCTGGGTTTTTTTTAAAGGTTAGAATTAAAATGCACAGAGCATATTCCCTTAATTTAAATGACATTTTTCTAGGCTAGTAACTTCTGATATTTCACCAACTATTCCATCCTTTAAATGCCATACAATTTTTCCTCCTTCTAGAATATGGCATCATAATCCCTCTCCTGCTGCAGCTGCCAAATTGAAATAGTACATTAAACTTAAAATTCTTGCAGTTTTTCCTTCAGAGCTGCTTCTTGACTAGGAAATGGAATTTTGAATTGACCTTTCAATGGAAATTTTCCTCACAGTAATATAAGGCTCTGGCTGACAATCTGGTCAGTGCTGAATATAAATTTGTATTCGTGGTAAGGTTTTAGCACATTAAATATATTTGGGCACATTAAATATATGTTAGGGACTTCACTATGATTTCAAGGGTATGAAGGAATACAGAATTAGGCAATGTATTAAACTTGCAATCAAGTTGTTTAATAAAAATGTTTATTACAAGCTTATTAAAATATCAGTGATTAAGTTAATAACAGAAAATACTAAAGGGGGAGACCGCTAAAACCAAGATGTTCTGGTTGTGATTATTTTTAATTTAAGCACAATGTGCTCAGCATTGTACCCGATATATAAATAGTCCATGCCCACAAGAGCTTACACTCTGAAGGGCAGATGTGGGGTGGGGGAAGAAGCACTGAGCAACACAGAGGAGGGAATAACAGAGTTTTTATTCACTACTTCTCAGCATTGCAGAAAGTAAGTCTTTGGCAGAAGTTTTAGGAAATGGTAGGATGGCAACCACATGAAAAGGGCAGCATGAAAAAACGATGGGAGATGGAAATGAACGTTAAAAGGCGTTAAAGCTGGTATCTCTACTGGAGCAGATCTGAGAGATGGTGAAAAGTTCTGAAAATGTAGGCTGCAGTGAAGTCCTGGAAAGTAAAGACAAGATCAAATGTAATGCAGCGTGCAAGGTGGAACCAGTGGGTGAAATCAAGTTTAGCATGGGGTGGTGAGTGTTAGAACAGTGGGTGAAGACTATATAATTTTAGGTTTCAGAGTAGCAGTCGTGTTAGTCTGTATCCACAAAAAGAAAAGGAGTACTTGTGGCACCGTAGAGACTAACCAATTTATTTGAGCATAAGCTTTCGTGAGCTACAGTTCACTTCATCGGATGCATGCAGTGGAAAATACAGTTGGCTGTAGTTTGGATGAATTGGAGGGTGACTGATCGGGGTTTAGGAGGATGGAGAGGAAAAAAGATGCAGTAATCAATATAGGAGATGGCCAGAGAATCAATCAACATCTTACCTATCAAGCCAGAGAGAAAGGGTTGGATTCTTGAGGAGGCAAAACAGCATATGTGGTCATGGCTGAGATATGTGGGGAGAAAGGGAGAGAGGAGTTTGACTCTCAGTTTATAGGGCTGGGTTGAGTAAACAGCAATAGAGGAATGGGGGAAAGTGGAGATAATTTCTTGTTATGCTTTAGATGCCAGTGAGCCATCCCAGGAAAAAAATTCAATTAACAGTATGAATGATTACAAAAGTGATTTTTTCCCCCCCTCCCATGATATTCTACTGTTCATTGTATTCTGATTAGCACTGACCCCCTCCCCATTTGGTAAGGCAACTCCCATCTTTTCGTGTGTGTGTGTGTGAGAGAGAGAGAGAGACACCTTCTACTGTATTTTCCACTCCATGCATCTGATGAAGTGGGTTCTAGCCCACGAAAGCTTATGCCCAAATAAATTTGTTAGTCTCTAAGGTGCCACAAGGACTCGTTTTTGCTGATAGACTAACACAGCTACCACTCTGAAACTTGAATCCTTGTGAGCAGATGAGATAGCCTTGAGGGACTCCTAAAGAGGAACTGCAGAAGGAGATGGATGGTGAAAGAGAAAGTGGTGAGAGGAGGGTAAAAGAAATAGTGCCAAAGAACAACAGAATTAGGAGGGAGGGAGTGTTCAGTTATCAAAAACAGCAAAAAGATCAAATGTGGGGTAAAGCCTTAAGATTTAGCTAGGTAGAAATCATTGAAGACCTTGGAGAGAATTTTCAGTAGAGTGGAGAGAACAGAAGCTTGATTAGAGTGTATCCAAAACTGAGTTAGAGGAGGGGAAACTTGGAAGTTGTAAATGGCCTGTTTGATTATTTTAAAGTGAATGAAAGAAGGTATGTGGGACAATACTTGAAGATGGAATCAAGGGCCTTTCTCAGGATGTATCTACTAGATCTTGCTTGTAGTTTGAAAGGAAGAAGCGAGAGCAGAGACTGAAGAAGAGTGAAAGAGGATCTTGAGAATGGGGTAAGGGGACAGATGGAGGGATTGGAGGTGCAGAGCAGGTGAGATATTGGCAAATGATGGGACTCTTGGGTCATTAGGAAACTGTTCTGTCACCTGTGTCTGTAGACTGTTCCTTGAAACAATAACTTCAGTTAGGAGAGCCAGCAAGCTCCATCCTTTCTTTGCTGACCTTTCTTATACAGTCCTCTTTAAGTGTACGTTAGTTCTGTACAACCTGACACCAAATTAATCCCTAGTGCGGTCACTGACTTTTGTCTGAATCAGATTATCTATAATAGTCTTCCTTAAAGATGCATTGGCAGCTAGGGAAGTCAGGTTATGCAAGCTAGATGCTGAAAGGGGCCGTAATAGGACAAAACATTCTATAAATCCCCTGGATTATTTATGGTTATGGTGGGCAGAGGGCCATGCTGTTTCCTCCCAATGCTTGTCCAAGTGCTTAGAATCCTGGGTAGAAACATGGCATACTTGGCTAGATCCAAGGCATGCCTTCAGAATGTCCCAGTTTATGGAAATGCTCTGCCTGCAGCTCAGTCCACACCTACATGGGAATCTCCCAAGAATGCAGATCTGTATTTGAAGGAGCAAAGTTACTCACCTGGGAACTGTAGCTCTTCAAATAGAGTTTTAGTACAGATCCACTCTTTCCATCTACACTTCGTGGCTGTTGGACTTGGAGGGGGTGGAAGGGACAATGTAGTGCGGCACCATCTCTCCTTTTTTTCAACCTTGTCTGGAGTCTTCCATGGCTTGACATGAGGTACATTTTTCTAACATGCTTAAGTAACTTAAACACATTTGAAAAATTTCCACAGGGTCTGCATATTCAAAAATGATCAGGGTAGAGGAGTCTGATACACAGATGTGCACCCAAAGGGTGGCAATGGGTACACCAAACCCACAGTGTCAGAATTTTGAGTTTAATTTCCCTTTTTGATTGTATGCGTAATTGCCTGAAAGTTCTATGCAAAAGTATTAGAAATAGTGCTACCTTTTGGCTCTATAAAAAGAGAAAGTTAGGTACCTTTTTGGAGTCTAATAATGCAATTTTCATGGTTGTGATTTTAATTAATGAGGAGTTGGAATATGTCATACTTTAAAAAAAAAAAAAGTAGCTAACTTGCATTCATAATGTTGTGTGGCTTAAATAGCTGCCATTTCAGAATAACAATTTTTGAATATTAGAATGGCTTCATTCTTAAAGGAAACTACTTTTCAAACTTAATTCCTAAATTAATTATTTTTAGCTTAGAGCTAAAATCTTTAGAACCAGAATGAACAGGCTGACAGATGTGGCAATGCTTATCTAGATAAGGGCAGAAGAAACCTGAATGGAGCTGAAAACCTGTGTGCCAAGTCAAACCTGTATTGAAACTGAAAATATTGAAACTCAAATGCTGGAATAGAAAGATGTGACTTTATAGGGTTTTTTAAAATGACTTTTATATAATCCATTAAAATGACTTTTGCTTTGTAGCAGATCTGTTAATGAGCAAGGCAGATTTCTTAAAATATTAAGTTGTCTAACACTTTCTATTACAAGACCCTGTTCTCAGTTGCTTATTACTCTGCCAAACTTTTAACTGTTTGGGCTGAAATTTAATTATTCTGGAAAATGTCAGCAAAAAGGATTCATCTGTTTCTCGGAACAAGTTAGGGAAAAAGGCATTGTTGTGCCCATTTAAAAAAAAATCTTAACCATTTTGTTGAGAAGCTGTGGAGCTTCCTTGCTTTGGAGCAGGGACTTGAAATTTGGTGAGGGGTTTTTCCTTGCATCAGAGTTGGTCAAATTTGACCAAGTTACGAGTTGCTGAATGACAGTTTGCACATACTCAGTAGAGACCTGTTTGTTTTGCCACTTTTGCTGAGCACGCTCTGAGCACGGTCAGTCCCAGGACTGCATGGGCGCAGCAGGACTGTGCCTTCCATTGCACCTCCAGGTACCCAGGAGCCATGTGGCACTGGAGCGGAGCGCAGGGAGACTTTCCCGTGTGCTTAAAGTACCCCCTGCTGGCACCCAGTGAGGAGGAGGAGGATTGGAACAACTTGAATGAAATAAAGAGGGGGGTGAGGAGCCAGGCGTGGAGAGGTGTTACCATCCTTCCCTCCTCCTAATATCGGGAGGAAGACATGCTGAAGGGGGTCAGAGAGAAGGTTTAGCAATTAGCCTATGATCCCTTTAGAACCTGGAATAGAACCCAAGATTCTGGAGTCTCAGTGCTTCTCTGCCAATAGCTAGAGCCCTGGGTTTTATAGCAAATACAAAACAACACTCAATAAAAAGAAAAGAAGAATATAAAACAAAATTAATTAAAAAAATTCACCCCTCAGCAGTGGCTCCTGTGGCTTGGTGCTGGGCCTGGCTTCCCGTACCGGATGTTGTGACCTGGCACATGAAGTTGCAGCACTGCTCAAGTTTGGCCTGGCCACCTTCCCATCATCATGATGGGGGTGTGGGCAGGTCAAACCTGTGTGGTGCTGCAACCCTGCTATCTGGTCCTATTATCCCTGTCCTCAGGGGATAATAGGACCAGATAGCAGGGTTGCAGCACCACTCAGGTTTGACCTGCCCATACCCCCATCATGTGAGGTGGATTTGGTTTGCAATCCCCTCACCCCCCCAGGGCCTGCCACGCCACTCTCCCCTGGGTGTAGGAACCATCTTCTTTCCCCTCCCACCCCCATCCCTCACTCTTTGCTGGATCAAATAAAATTCCAGAAAAATAACATGAAATTCCAGAAAAATAAAATCATTATATTTATTAAAAAAATTCCACAGGGATATACAAATAGCTGTGAAGCCTAGTGCAAAACATGCCTTACCTTCCTCTAGTGGGTGACAACCTACTACTGCTATTACTTGCTCTGTTGGCTCAAGTGGCAGAGCTCATGGATTTAAAAGTTCCAACTTTGTTGAACAAACAGATTGTTTTTTCACTATGGTTTTGAAAAACAACTTGGACTACATGCAAGAAACTACATTAAAAAACGTTGAGATTGCAAACTCAAGTAAACAAAAATTAGGAAATACCAGAATTAAAGTTGCTTTTTGACCTTAACTTGCCCCTTCCCCCACCCACTCCACGTATATGTAATTAAAGGCCATCGTAATGAATAATCACATTTTTTCCCAAGACTTCTGCCTTATTTAGTTGTACAGTTGATGGAAGCTATTTGTCTGAAGGACCCTCATCTTATTAGTTGGAAAGTATGCAGTGAAATGAGGCAGGGGATATGAGGAAGAGAGAGGATGGTCCTGTGGTTAAGGTAGTTGAATGCCACCTTGGAAAACTGCCTTCTGCTTCCACCACAGAGTTCCTGTGTGACGGTACTCAAGTCACTTAAACCAAAATTTTCACTAATGACCACTAATAGTGTGTTCCTCATCTTCTGGGAGTTCCCAACTTGACACAGGTTCTGGCTTGCAGTGCCGAGTGCTCAGCACCACATCTAAAGTCATTGAAAGCTGTGCTCTGAACAAATGATGTGCTATAAAATGCTAATTTCTCTGAAAAATAAGGCCATTGGTGTCTCAAATAGGGCACCCAAAATTAGTGTTAAGAGTTGACCCTAATCTCTCTCTGCCTCAGTTCCTATATCATCCATTGAATAGCTGCTCATTCAATTCACTCATTGAGCACTGTCCAAACAGCTGTGCATTGAGACAGCAGTCCTGTGGGGGAAAAAATAGTTTGTTCATGCAATTAAAGACTAAAATAAAGCATACACACAAGGGGGAGGTCAAATTAAGGTTGTGCAGGCAAAATAAATTCTGGCATTGAGTGCCACTTTTGAGTGGTTAACTTTGCAACCTTAATGTTTTTAAAGTGTTTTCAGACAGAATAGTGTGCGCACAAGCATGTGCGTGTGCACATGCACACATATGTGTGTACAAATATAGCTGCTGTCCGTTGATCTAGATAGCATACTTGAAAATGGCAAACATTTAACTGGATCATTATCAAATTGGTCAACACAAATAGATGGTCTCAAGTCTAGTAAATGCAGTTGGTGGGGTCTGTACCATTCAACACAAGATTGCTTGGCTTTTTACATTATTTCAGGGGGACAGCTTTGGTGTTGCATTTTTAAGGGGATTCAGTCACACTCACGTGTTGTACAAATGGCAGAGCCAAGCTAATATAGAAAAATGAGAAACAAGTAACTGTTTAATGTACAGGAATGCATGATCTGCATTACAGATTTGTCATTGGTGTTGCATACAGGAAGCCCAACCAGATGGCTGTGCATTAACACATTCCTTCGTGAGAGAATTAAATACAAGCAATTTGCTCAGAATTTCTGCAGACCTCTACTGCACATCACATTAGGATAGAAAGAACAAAAGATTAAGTGCTTTATTTATTGGAAATGTTTAAGTGAAGTTGGAAGTTACTTAGTTATCTTTCTACACATGTATTTGAATCACATCTTTGCAAACAATAGCGGTCTTTGTTTTAAAATGTGTGGGGGTGAGGGGGGCTGATGAGAAAACTGGCCTCATAGTATGATATGCTGCTTAGCATATGCACAGTAGAAACAGAACCACTTCATTGTATCAAATTTATACTTAAATCTCAAAAGAGTTGGCTCTCTGTACCTGAATAATATTGGTTCAAGGTACTTATTTTTTTTCTTCCTATTGTTAGTAGGTTTTTAATCTAAAATGTTTTAAAAAATTAGTCTGTTTTTGTTTAGTAATCAACATATTATCTTACACCAGTGGAGTATTGCTTTCTATCTTTAGCTTGGTGAGAGTGGTTACTGTACAGGCCATGAACCAGATTCTATGGAATTTAGCTCCCTTGGAGGATGGGTGGCCACACGCGCATCAGGCATGAAAAAGAACATCTACGGAAACATTGAAGATCTGGTAATTTTTTATAAATATTTCCTTTTATCTAGTATTTCCCCTCCAATTTGGAATGTTCGGTTCTGGCTTCTGTAAATTAGTCCTAATTGGGACAGAGAAAGTGGGGTGTGTGTATAGCAGTTCTTTTAAATTACCTTTATATTAAGGCTGCTTAACATTTGTAATAAAGCACTCCCTTTTAGCAAACAGTGGAACTATAATATCATTCTGTCATCATTACTGTAAATTTTCTCATAAATAAAATGTTAGTAAACATTTACAGTAGTGACACCAGAATCATATTATGGCTTCATTGCTTACTAAAGGGAAGTGCCTTATTTCAAATTTGAAGCAGCCTTAATATAAGGGTAATTTAAAAACTACTATGCATCTCCCACTCTCTCTCTGCTATATATACGGGTGTATGTGTGTGTGAGGGAGAGAAAAATTAGGCAGACTAAACTCTTTATAAAAAGTATTGTCACCTTCCGTTTTGAAGCTTCATTGAATTTCTTTGTCATTGCTGCTGTGTTACGTGTTGTAAAAGAAAAACAGCTTTCTTGGGGAGAGGGGGTTGTCTTCTTTTTTTTTAAAGAAGGATATGTTCCTGTCAATCTCAGCTGGCCAGAGTCCTTGCCCTATGTTTTAAAAAAATCACTTTTAGAACAGAATATCTTTCATACCAATGGACCAATATGTAACTAACTGGGATTTTGGTAGGCATGGGGGCAGGGAGAGTGGAGGTGGAAAAACGTTTTGTACAAGATGAGGTTAAATATTTTGATGGCTTACATAGTCTGTAGCTGCCAAAATTTTTTGTCTAGTAGTGCCTTACAGGACTGAAACATCTAGGGTATCCGAACAAAGATGAATTTTTATCAAGATATGACATCTGATTGTGCCCTGGTAACTGAGGCGTCCTTCTATTTAACTTACATGTGCCGGGAAGGGTTATGCCAAATGGTTGGGTATCTCTAGACCTTAATTTGCATCAAGCTAAACTTTGGCATGTGAAACCATCTTTCATAGGAGGAAGAATAACTTTCAAATCCATTTTAATCCATTAAAATGTAAATATAGTTCAGCACCAGATGTATATTGACTTGATATTTGAATTATGTACTTATCTTTAAAAATGGTAAACAATTAGTTCTTAACTTTTTTTGATGATGGTCCTGTAACCTACCTGCTGGGTTGGTAGTCCATTAAAACATTGGTGAATGTGGTATGTTTAATAATAGCCAGTTGGCTGATGTGGCTTAATCACTTTTTTGGTACTTTGCACAACAAATATTTAATAATGACGTATTATTTGCATGTAGTGAAATCTTCAGATAAATTTCATTTTGATTCTATTTTCTGTTTCTGAGCTATCTAAATATCTAAATGTTTTTGCTGTGTTATACAAACTGCTTAAATAAAAGTGCAGTTTACTATGTAAATATGCATGTTATGAAACAGTCTTCATGGTCTTATGAAGAGCTCAGGAGAAGCCATCGGGTTATATTGTTGAGCCACACGTACATTTCAAGAGTCTTAAATTTGCATTGAGGCTTCAGTGCAGTTTGTTGAATTTAAGATGCTTTCAAATTTCCTATTTTATTGGCTTTGAAAACTCTTACAGTAAAAATTTATCTCCATTATTTAATTCTGATATAGCAAGAAATAAAAAATTTATATAAAAAAATACAGGTGTACAGTAAGCAATCTGGACACATTAGAGTAGAAACAAATATAGTGAGGTTAAAGAGGATTTTTAGCACTGTATCTGGATTGTCAATTTCCTGCTATCATGGTAGACTTAAAATAAGTGTTCAAATGTTTACAGGTAGTGGAGTTCTTCTGCTTTGTAGTCAAGCTGCTATGTAAAAATGCATTTGCAATAAATGTGGATTTTTTTTTTCATTTCCACTGGAAATAATTTTTTATGGTGATACTCTCCTCTGTAAGCCAAAGTTAACTATGTTAAAATTGCTATATCTGATGGAGAATGATTTTGGGATTCTAAATTTAAAAATTCATTCTCTCTACTATTTTCCTGTGATATAGTAAGTATTTATATGTGAGAGTTAACCAATGCAATCATGAGACATAAACAAAAGGAAGATATAGGCTAGGATATCATGAGAAATCCAACAAAATGTTTAATTGTAGATTTACTGTGGCATACACAAGGGACAAAAGAGAAAAGTTTGATTTGGCAAAAAATGAGAAGAATCTGTGCTTTCACTGGCTAACTGAATTGTATTAGATTTATTAGTTGCTAGCAGGTTACCTCACAAAATTTCTAGGGGGTGATTTATAGGATTTCCAAATTTTGTAGTATAATTACATCAAGTTTAAATTGTATTTTGTGGTAAATGGAAATTTTAATATGAATATATTAATCAATATATGTTAATTACTTGAGTGTTAAATACTGAATGAATGTATAGTCATCACTATATAATGTGTTAAACAGGTGGTTCATATAAAAATGGTAACCCCAAGAGGAATAATAGAAAAAAGCTGTCAAGTACCTCGCATGTCAACAGGACCTGACATCCATCATTTCATTATGGGATCTGAAGGTATAAACAAAAGTAATATTAAGATGCAGTTTGTGAGATTACATCAGTTTCTGTAATGGTTTGAAAGCCTTTGGGATTTATTTATTAAAACATTGTTTTTCAAAACAATCTTATTCAAAACATTGTTTTTCACTTAATGGGTAGTAAGTACTACTGTGCAAGAACCTTCCTTTATTTTGGTACCACTTTGTGGCTCTTGTCACAGCCTTATTGTTGTGTTGCACAAACACACAAAAAAGCATGCTCAAAACAAGCCTCGTGTCTCTAACTATAATAAATTTATTTTTGAACTCAAGCTTTTAGGAAATTCTAATAGGTTTACAAATCATTGTCAGATACACATCTGAAAAAATGTTAATCATTACAATACTGAGCTTATCTTCTTGTTTGTGTTTGTCATGCAGTAATGAAATCTCTATTTTAACCTGCTGTTACCATGTTACTTAATGCAGGACGTATTGTTTTTTTTAAAGAAATTTGATGTAACTGACTCTATTCATATTTAAAATTGCTTGGGAGTAATCAAATGTTCATAGTTAAATTTTGGCTTACACATTTAAGTGAAACATGGTGCCAAATTCATGCAATACATTTCCAAAAGTTCTTAATATGTTGTGTCCTTTGGGTTTGTATCTCTTTATAATTATTTAAATCATTCTAGTTGGCTTTGTTCAAGCAGGTTGCTGTGTTGAATAATTTCCATTTTCATGCATAAGTGGAAGTAAGTAATATATTACACATGTGCATAGAGAAAAATTTGTACTCAAAAATTTAACTTAAAATGAAGTGTTCACATGGGCAGATGAATAAAATTGTCCAGTAGTGCATTCTTTTCCTGTTCGGTATCCTTTTATTTATTCTCCTTGTTTTTGTTTTTCAAAAAGTAATCTTTTAAACAGCCTAATATAAGGTAAAGTTGGTACATATTAATTACTCCTGCAGGATTTCCTCCATGAGGTGGTGTCCATACTAGTCCCGTAGGTAACCAAAAACTCTGAAAAGCTTTTTAAATTAAAAGTTCCTGAGGAACACCTATTGCAAATGCTGTTAAATTTTTGCACAGAAAAAAATTGCCATAAGTTACAGTGAAAGAGAATCTTTTTCAGATGTTATACAGAGGAGGTGACTGTTTCAAATAATAGTCTTTAGAACTCCTTGTAGCTGCTTGGATTTCTGAGAACTGAAGGGTTTAAGTTCTTAGAACAAAACACATTTTCTTCAAATTCCATACATGATCTAAAAGTTCCCCAACTCTATCACTTTTGTTTCCATCTTCATGTAAGTTCATACTGACTACTTTTTAAGTTGTAAGAAGTGCACTATCATCCCCTTTGTCTGTTATAACTCTTAATCAGGATGAATGTAAGCTACTCATATCGGGTGGAGAGAAGTTCCAAAAACATTCAAACTTAGTCTAGTTATTAACCTTTTTGTGGGATTTTGATAAACTTGCCATCTGCTTACACCATAGACTTGTCACTGCATGCTCCACATTTTCCAGTTTGTTCATTATTTGTCATGCAGTTGCTCCAAAAGGCCCCATCAGAATTATATCCTTACTGTGCTAGGCACTGCACAAATATATACAGACACATAGTTGCTGTCCTGAAGAGTTTGCAATCTAATTAATTACTAAATTTGTTGAAACTGCAGGTTAAAAGCCACTTCTCCTTCAAGTAACTGTGCACATATATATTTCACACTATACAGGTGTGTGCGGCTACTGTACTCAAGTCAGAGACTTTTGACATCAGTACCATTCGGTAGGGCACGGCCTCTGCCATCCTCGTGTGTGGAGCAGAAGGCATAAAATGGGAGTGGCTGTGGCCTCCCTCTATTTGTTCTTACCACCTGTAGCAAGAGTTGGATCTCCCTGTTGCCTTTGAGCTTCAGTTAGCCAGCTCAGAAAAGAGATTTTCTCCTTTGTATAGTTATAGTTCACTTTACTGCAATTCTAGTTAAGAACTGTTTTAGTAGGTTTTTTGCCATGGCAGAATCCCCTGGATTTAAACGATATGTGCAGGGCTGTTATCCCTGTCACCGATAAGCATAAAAGTTGCTTAATTTGTTTAGGTGAGGGACATATGTCCTAGCTGTAGATTGTTCCCCACTAGGACAAAGAAATATAAGAAGTTTTGTCTTAAATTTTATCTTCTCGAAATGGCAACATCTGCCTCCTCAGAGGCTGACCATGACTGAAAGTTTTCATGAGTAGTTCATGTTCAGCTGCCAAGGCGCCAAAGACAATTTTGGGTGAGAAATCTTGTTGTCGTGTGGCCTCCTTGCAGTGTTCAGAACTGTTTGAGATTGATAGAGCGTGCTCCTCGTCCCACAAAAAAGCACTTAAAAAGTCATCTAATTCTGTGAGGTCTGGTCAGAAGCACCAACACTCAGAGTCCACATCCGCCAGCGTTGTTGATACTCGTGCCTTCTGCTTTACTGGAGAGATCTTCAACCCTAGCAGCATTATTGGATCTGGTTCCATCTCCAGTGGCTGTACACTTACCTCCATTGTTAGTGCCATCAATGCCACAAGCCTTTCATGCAGCAAAGGATTTGTCTGCCTTTGCTGGACTCTGCGTTGTCTGATTCTAATTGTAGCCGCCTCAGCTTCATCGGCATTGTCTGCATCACCTGCCACCAAAACGTGATCAGTTCTTCCTGTATCTTCACTGCAGTCTGCATTGGCACCATCAACTTACTGTTTGGCATTGCCAGTTTTCAGGCAACCCAAGATTCAGCTCTAGAAAGCACTTTGAATGCGGTTTGCTGATTACCTTGGAGTAACCCTTGATAGATTTCTCACATATCTTATCTACCCGAGGAAAACTGTGACTAAGGTGAAGAGGTGTAACAACCTTTTAGGCAAATTGGCCAGCACTTTATAGGGAGCAAATGCTCAAAATCGCCAATCATCTGGTTTAGCCCTCTCTTACTCTGCAGCAGAATACTGTGCTCTGGTCTGACTCCATCTGTCTCATGTAAAGGTGGTTGGCACACAACTGCACTCAACCATGCACATCATAACTGGGGCGATTACACACGTTGCTCCCTGTGTTAAGCCACATCACTCTTCCACACAGCCCTCTGGTTGCTACAGCCAGAATTGTTGGAAAGATCAGGGCAAACCCAAGTCTACCACTATCACTATACACAGACCTCTTCAACGACCCAAAAGCATGCTGTTGTGGGCCCACTTGCCCTACCCAGATTTCTCTGAGGTATTGATGTGGTGTGAAGAATGATCTGCAGCTGACATCAGAAACCAGTCGCTTATAATTGACCCAACCATGTGTGTACCCAGCTTTGATTTCCCCCATTTATGGGCTGTTATGAAGGGATTTTGAACAGACCAGTCCAGAACAGGGTCAATGTGCAGGCAGCCTTCCAACCGTTGGGGCCAATGAGAGGATCCCACATGCAGCTGTGGCCAAAGACCCATGTCTCACATCACTAATGACTGCCCTCTGACCAGATTTGGTGGTTGTCTGAGGGCTCTGCACTTCACTGATGAGGCTGCAGCAAATTGGCATGGCAAGGTCCATATCTGACGAGAAGAATGAAAACTGCATTTCTGCTAGCAATTAGTTATGCAAGAAGGGTACTGGAGCTCCAGGCACTGTAAGCCAACCCCCCCCCCAACCCTTACCCCCCCCCCCCCCCCCAATGTTTCACAAAGACAAGGTTTCTCTTAGGCCACACTTGAAGTTTATGTATCTGTTTCCACCTCAGACAACTCACCTTCTGGTGTATTTTTCCAAAACCTCTTTTTAGCGGAGCTTCATACTTTGGATGTTGAGAGGGCTCTGTCCGTTTACCTGGACTTCACAAAGTCTTTCAGATCATTTCCTAGAATTTTTATGGCCTTTGCTGAAAGGATTAAAGAGCAACCCATTAAACCCAATATATATCTCACTGTATTTGAGTGCATTAAGCTCTGCTATAATCTAGCTAAATTTTCTCCTCCTGTGAGAATAACAGCCCACTAGGACCTATTTTGTTTCATCAGTAACATACCAATAGTTGACATTTGCAAACCAACAGTGCAGTTGCCGGTACCTACCTTTTCCAGACACTCTGCATTTACTCAAGCTTCCTGGGACAGTGCCAACTTCAGCAAGTCAGTATAGCAGTGCTTCTGACTGCAGTCTCTTCAAATAATCAAAAGTCCCATCACCTGTAAGGAAACTGTTGGTGAGTCACAGTGGAATGTATATGTGCACAATCACTCAAAGGGGAAAAACTGTTACTTACCTGTACAGTAACTTTTTTGTTCTTTGTGATGTATTGTATGCAGATACATTCCATGACATTTCCACCTTCCCCCACTATTTGAGGTATTAGATGGTGTAAAAAAATGGAGAGAGAGGGGCGGTGGTTACACCCCTTTTATGGCCTTGCCTCCAGGAACAAAGATAGCTGAGGCACATGTGCTGACAAGTTTCTGACTCAAGTGCATTGGATGCAGATACACTTACATGGTTTTTAAACTTTTTCAATTTGTTTGAAGACACTAAAACCATACTTACAACACTAGTTTGAGTAGATTTTAGCATCACATATTGCCATTTTATCATGGCATTCTAACATTGACTAACCCCCCATTAACAGTTAGTCAAACTCTGTGATGGCTTCCCCATAACCAGTTTAAAGACTTGAAAAGTTATGTCATTACTAGTCTACCAGACCTCCAGTATCTCTTGTATGATCTTCAGGTTAACTTCAGTAATTTGAACTAGTTAACTTGTTACCTGAAGAAATCTTTTCTGTCCTAAATTGTTTAGAGTCCTAATGTTAAAGGATTTTCAAACTGTCTTTAATCTAATCTAATCTAATTTTCCTAATCCAAATCTTTTAATAATAAACAAAAAACCCACCCTGATCTCCCCCACTACAAATCACTGTGTAGAATGGGGAAAATATTCATTTTTAAACCTCATTATCTTGCACAGCTGGATATGGCAACCTGTTTTCCTTACTTGACAGTTCTATTTAGAGCCTGTCTAAACCAGCTGAGCTTTTGCAGAATACTGCATTAAAACTATTAGTTTTTAGACATCTTGAGCTTTGATCATTTTCTGAAAAAAATCTGATCCACGGTTTGAGAAATGTTGCCTTAACTGTCAACTTCTAGTTGGAGGTTTATGTAGAAAGAAAAAATAAATTTCTAGTGAAATGATACCCAATAAAAATGCTACTCCAGGCTTTAAAATACATTTAACAAATGTGACTTAATTTTCTTAAGATATCTCACTTATGGAATAGTATGAAAATACTCAAAATCATATATGTTAAGTCAGAAAGCAAGAGATTTTTGTGACATTGAAATGATGATCATTTTCCTTTTTAAAGGGACCCTTGGCGTGGTTACAGAAGTTACAATAAAAATCCGACCAATCCCTGAATACCAGAAGTATGGCTCTGTAGTATTTCCTAACTTTGAACGAGGAGTGGCCTGTTTAAGAGAAATAGCAAAGCAGGTAAGGAGAAAATTTGTTTTTGAATTCTATTACACTTGTTTGTTTCATGCATGTAGTATCTGTATTCCAACATTAGGTGTCACAGTAATGCTCTGGTTTGCCTCTGGATATTTTTGTAGTTGGTAAGTGGGCTTAAAGGGACAGTATCAATTTTAACATCTTAGAAACCTCAGTGTAATTTACAAATCAGATTTTAGCAAAGTTTATAAAACTTATTTTTGTGTTGTTCCTATGTAGACTAAGGGAGTTGTACACATTTGTGGCACTTGCTATTCATATGCGCCAGCATGGTGATACGCTCATGTGCTGTTTTGGAAGATATGTGAACTCTCCATAGTTCACTTTTTAGTAACAGTAGAAAACAATTGATTCAATCTGCTAGAGATGTGTCTACCAGAAAGTGCGGGGCAGTAGCTAGCAGTATTTGGGGTGCTACAGGTTGAAGTGGTCTTTATCCTCCATAGCTACCCTGGGACTGTTTCAGTTTTCCTTGGAAAGTTCTGTAGCTGGTAGTATCGGCCTGGAGAGTTCTCAAGGTAGTGTTCAGCATGCACATTCCCAGGCTAGTTTTCACAAAGGTCTTCACAATCCTAGGATGTTTATCGGAGCAGCGCAAAAAAAAAAAAAAAAAAATTCCTCCAAAAAACCCCTTAATAATGGATAATTCTCATGGGGTGGATTCTAAATATACATTACGAAGAAAAAGCACTATATAAGAAAAAAGTATTATAGTACTGTTTAAAAATAGTAAATGAGTTGATATCACCTTCACTGTAACCTGCACTAAAGCTAGCTTACTGCTGCACAGTAAATATAGCATAAGATACATATGACAGACTATTTTTGGTGAAGCTCTGAAATAGCCATTTTAACTTTTTCTTGTGATATACTTTCTCTTCTCTTGTGTTGAACTGTCAATTACATCTTGTTTTATGCACAATTTAATGTCAGAATAAATCTGCAGTGAGAAAAGTAGCATGGATGGATAATAGTGGATCAGAAGTATTATAGTGTGGATCTATGGTTTCCTGGCACACTCTCTCAAAAATGGCATTACCTGTTTTCAAGTCACTGATAACTTGGAAGAAAATGATCTTGAATGCTTATGGATCAATGTCCTAATAGATAAATCACAAGATATGGTATAAGTTGTCTGCTACTGACCATCCAGTCACAATAGGGAACAGGATGGCCACCTTCTTATGCATCAATCTATAATGTGTTGGGAAAAAAGCCCAGCAAGATCATGGGGTACTTAAATTTGGAGGTCTCATGCTTCCCGTACTGAAACATGTTTGAAATTTCTAAATGTTAGAGATGAGTTTCCTAACTCAAAGTGTTGGTGCCATCACAGTTAGATTTGTCCTAACAGATAAAGAGAAACTGATCAGAGAACTAAAAATTAATGGTAGCTTAGGTACAAGTAATGATCATGAGTTGATCACATTTATAATGTACAAGCAGGATAAAGTCAGACCAGGTAGATGTAGATATAATTGCTTCCTCCCAGCTGACTTGGCTCAGTTGTTTTCAGCTGTGTGAAATTGGCCCTACTGAAGCACCACACACATACAAATGGAAGAAAGGGGAAGTTAATAGCAATGAATCAGAAGCTAGGAATTGTAGAAAATGGATAAGGGAAGCAAAGGGAAATAAGGAGAAATCTATCACCAGCACAGATAAAGACAATACATTTTTAATATATTAGGAATAAAAAAAGATTAGTGACAATGGTATAGGGCCATTACTAGATGGAAATTGTAGAATTATCAATCAACATGCAGAAAAGGCAATGAAGTTCAGTTACTATTTTTGTGCCGCATTTGGAGGAAAAAACAGATGAGTCTCATCATATGGTGGTGATAACTCTTTGCATTCCACTAGTATCTCTGGAGGATGTTAAACAGAAGGTAGTAATGTTAGGAATTTTTAAATCAGCAGATCCAGATAACTTGCATCCGGGAGTTTTAAAATAGCTGCTGAGCAGCTTGCTGGACGTAAATGTTGATTTTTTTTAATAAGTCTTGGAGAACTGGAGAAGTTCCAGAAAACTGGAAGAAAGCTAATGTGCCAGGATGATTATTATTAGCTTTTCAGCCTGACAATGATCCCAGGAAAGATAATGGAATGGCTGATAGGAGACCTGATTTTTTTAAAGAATTCAAGAAGTGTAATGGCCAATCAACATGGGTTTATGGAAAATAAATCTTGTCATACTAACGTGATATTTTCTGATGAGATGACAAGTTTGGTTGATAAAAGGAATACCACATGGCATGGTACCACATGGCATTTGGATTGAAAAACTAAAATGATATAAAATTAACATGGCACACACTAAATGGATTAAAAACTGGCTAAGTGATAGGTCTCAAAATATAATAGTAAACGGGGAATCATCATCAAGCAAGTGTGTTTCCAATGGGGTTCCACAGAGATCAGTCCTGGATCCTATGCTATTTAACACTTTACTCAATGACCCAGAAGAAAACAAAATAATCACTGATAAGGTTTGCAGACGACCCAAAATTGGGAGGTGGTGGTGGTAAATAACATAGAGGACAAGTCACTGATTCAGAATAGTCTGGATTGCTTGATAAACAGTGCAGATTATTTTAATAAGGTTAAATGTATACATTTGGCAACAAAGAATGTAGGCCATACTTACAGGATGGAGGACTCTATCTTGGGAAGCGGTGAGTCTTAAAAAGATTTGGGAGTCATGGTGGATAATCAGCTGAATGTAAGCTCCCACTGTGATGCTATGGCCAAAAAAGCTATTGTGATCCTGGGATGTATAAACAGGGGGAATTTCCCATAGAAGTGGAGAAGTTATTTTACTTCTATATTTGGCACTGGTGGAACTGCTGCTGGAATACAGTGTCCAGTTCTGGTGTCCTCCATTCGGGAAGGATGTTGAGAGCCATCCGAGAGTGCTATGACCAAAATGGATGCAGGTTGCTTGAGCTCTGAAGCAGCCCACAGGGAAGCCCCAAACATAGTCTCCTAAACCTCACCATCCAATGTCGAGGAATATAGCACCCGACTACTGAAACCCCCTAGATGCCCTCTAGCACTGCTTCTTCCTTTCCAAATCTGAAAGCACTGAAAACACAGAGGAGATCTGCCTTCAACAGAATGGTTCCTGCACATTATGGAGCGCAGCAGATGGCTGTACTGCAGCAGGTGGCCACAGATACTGTTGAAATTAAATCTACGGTTTCCACCCTACAGACCACCATGACTGAAATTCAGAGTGCACTACAAGCAAAATCCAGATGAATGAGTGAAGCAGAACACAGAATTTCTGAAGTGGGATTTCAACGAGAACAAATTAGTTTATGAAGAACGAGAACAAATTAGTTACATATCAAGACTCTAAGACCATGCTAATTCATCTAAAAGGCCACTCATAACAATGTAACGTCAGGATTGTAGATGTTCCTGAGGGAATAGAGAAAGGTAAATCCTCTGAATTTGTCCCTAAACTACAGAATTGATGAATCTGCTGGTAGATTTTTTTGTTTTTTTTTGTTTTGATACAGAACAGGCAGATTGGGCCCTTGTCCCTAAACCAGCTCCAGAAGGTCAGCTTAGAGCATTAGTGTGAAGTTCCTGAAGTTTACCACTAAGGAGCTTATATTGCAGAAATCCAGAGGGGGAGGAAAAGGAGCTGTTACGGCAAGAACCAGCAATTAAAATACTGCTCTTTCAAGATTATGCACGTGTTGCGGTTGCAGTGAGGGCAGCTTTTAGTCAGGCAGATGCTTACCTCAAGCAGCTCCCGGAACAAGCAGCATGCCCCCTTCCGGCTCCTACATGAAGGTGCTGCCAGGCGTCTGCCCCATCCGCAGGCACCTCCCCTGCAACTCCTCCTCCCCCGCCCCCCGGAGCTCATTCAACATATTCAAGATTGGATTATTTCTTTTAGTGTCTCTAGATTTGATCAATTCTACCACTTGTTGTGGCATTGGTACTATTGTTATATCTGACCATGTTTCTCTACATATATCTCTTAGGCCCTCAGAAAATGTGGGGATACATCATTTGTTAACTCTGTGCAGCAGGAGTTAGGACTTTTTTTTTTTTTTATTAAAACAAATACCCCCACCGCTTCATCTGCTTCTATGCTTTGGGAAGTCTTTTAAGCCTTCAACAGAAGCTGTATCATCTCATATGCCACCTTTAAAAAGAAATTGAGAGAACATAGAATTGACCTCCTTTTGAAGGAAAGTAAAGCCTTGGATGTAGACTCTGCTTCTGCCCCCTACCCAGAGAAACTGAGAACACTTATCAATCTAAGACATGAAATCAACAAACTTCTGTCCCAAATGGTTGAGATTGCTTTATTCACTTTGAAACGAAACTACCAGGCATCCGGCAAGAGAGCTCGCAGGCTGTTGGCATATAGATTTAACCAAAAGGCTAACAAACAAGATTGCTGTAATTTGCAATAGAAGCAATAAATTATACACAACACAGATATTAATAAACAACTTCATCAGTTTTATTCAAAACTATATTTTGCTGAAAAGGAAATCTGTAAAGATGCCTAGATAACTTTTTTTAGTGAATTGTCTCTAAACTGCCTCAGATCCCTGACTCTCCAAAGGAACTTTTAGGTGCCTCTCTAAAATCATGGACCTGACTCAGGCTATAAAAGAAATGAAGGTCCGAAAGACTTCTGTCTCAGATGATTTCTCAATTGAATTTTACAAAAAGTTCTCAAACTTTAACACCTAGATTATTGAACATGTTCAGTGAGGCCAAGAATGAGCAAACTCTCCCACCTACTCCAAGAAGCTGTAATTTCAGTTATTTCTAAATCTGGGAAAAAACTTGAACTGTGGTAATTACAGGACAATTTCTTTAATCAGGTGTAATGCTAAGATTGTAGCTAGGGTTGGCAACTTTCTAACTGCACAAAACTGAATGCCCTAGCCCTGTCCCTTCCCTGAGGCCCTACTCACTACATTCCCCCTCCCTTGGTGGCTCACTCT